CAATTCCTTAAACAGAGGATGTGACAGGTGAGTGTGGCAAGAGGGGTCTGATTTTCTATTTGATGGCTCTGTAACCAAATAAGATTGAAGGCTATAAAAATTACACTTTGCATGAGTGACGACAACATTATGAGTTATGGTCATGAAATTCCATACTTCTTGAAGAGGTGTTAAATAAATTAGAGAAGAGGGAATGCCCAGAGAGCAAATGTCACATTTCTCACACATTATAATGTATAATTGACATTAAATTTCATACTTCTTGGAGAGGTGGTAAATAAATTAGAGAAGAGGGAATGCCCAGAGAGCAAAGTCACAATTCTCAGACTAGGAAAAATTCTAGATTTTATTTTAATATTGCCTTATAAAAGTGAGAACTTAAAACTTTTATAATATTAAAATATGGATTATTAGCTACATTTGTATGCTATATTTATTGGTATACCATGAAAAGAAAGTAGTTTAAATTTTGAATGTAACTCACTAAATCCTAGTGACATGCACAGAAAAAGATGTATGTGGAGAAAGGGATAAGGCTGCAACATCAGTCAAGTTCAAATGGATAATATATGTATATGTAAAATTTTTTATTTTTAAATTTAAAAAACTTGAAACAATACATTCTGATCAAAGCAAGCTATGTACATACTCAATACTAAAAATTAATCCAGTAATTAATCTTCTTACTATAATGGGTCTTATTTTACGTTTATTACACTTTATATGTGATTCTTTGTGCCAACTCTTATCAAGATGGATGTAGTGTATATGTCAGTATCTATGTATGTAACCAAAACTCCTGCACCATCTATTGAATGGCACCACAAACAAAGATCCATAAAAAAATAACACTTTAGGTATTCAAGAATCAGACAATTAGAAAAATAACTATGGTATGTGAAACAATTTCTTTATAATAGTACAAAAGTTTAAACAAAAGTACTCTCCTCACAAAAACAACACAAACCTCACAAGGACTGTAAGGGAGGGTTTGAGAAACTGGAGTTCTTAAAAAACTATTATTTTTTCAATAAATGTTCCACTTTTAATATATAAAAACATTACAGTTTATATCAGTAAAATGTATGAAAATTGTGAGCTCTGTACACTGAACCATTTTCATGCAATGACTTGCATATGACTAAATACTACAATCCAAACACTTTTCCCGTGCAGTACTTCCCAGAAAGTCGTTTTTTAGAAAATGTTTATTTTTTCCTAATTTTTTTTCAATGAGATATGAATACTATGATTAGTAATTACTAGCACAAACAGCCATCCACAGGGCAGCATTTCTGCTAGTATAGCTAATTTAATTTATCATTCTTATTTATAACTTAATTCTTCAGTTACACACCCTTGCTATTAGTGATATTTTTGGCAATAATCCCTAAAATCCTTGCTGCAAGTGTAATAAACTAAGCAATTGTATATTTAGGTTAAAACATGTCTTGGAAGCAAGTATGCTTTACATGTTCAAAGAAGTATCTGAATTTTATAAAATTTCTGTTAGTTTATTTTATTATAATTTTTACATTTCAAAACTTTTGTTATAATCACCAAATTACAATTCACTAATCCATTAATTATAAACCAAAAAATACAACTTTCAGACCTGTTCAGCAATGATGATAAAGTATTAGAATGTTGTGAAGTAAGATTGCATTATTTCACATATATCAAACCATTCAATCACACTAACTACTTAAGTTTATTTTCTGATAGATAAAATAAATGGACTTTTTCAGTTTGTGACTAACTACTGTTATAAAATAGAACCTCATCCTCCCATATTTCCACCCCTTTCTTTTGAATTAGATCCTGAAAACCCCTAACCAAGCACAAATAAATCTGCTAAAAATTCTGATTTGTTGAGAAGACAGGGAAACATACAAACTAGTTGTCACATGCTATTTTCATTGAACATCAAATGTGTTGCAAGTTATGTTCCAATTTAATCATGTTGGTACATTTGTAACTAGTCTATCTATATCCTAAAGGTAATAAACAATAACTTCTTGCATACTTAAGGCAACAATCATTTTGCACAAATAATTTTTCTCATTTCTCAGTCTTTTATTCTGCAGTAATATTTCCTATTTGTATTAAATTTGGTAGTAAGAAATGACCACTTACACTTTCTTCTACTGAGATAATTATGATGAAATGTAGTAGTTTAATTACCTGTCTTATGTATCTGATATTTTAATGTCTTCCATAGTAAGTGTTCCCTTCTATAGTCCCAGTAAAACACAAAATAATAGTGATGACATTTTAAACTAAAGCTAAACTCCAACTTTTATCATTATTATCAGTAAGCTTTGATAATGTGGACTTCTAATGGAGTAATATTAGTCATAACACAGCATTGCTAACTACATTTTGATGAAATGAATAAAATAACATAACTATTAAAATCAACTTGTTAATTATATATATTACTGCAAAATATAAAATTTCTTATGTGCAGAATTTGCTAAAATATATTGAAAAACTATAAAAATGTTTACACTGATTTCACACAGTGTAAAGAATGGCACAAATTCCCAAGGTGTGCATTAGGAAGGGTATGTAAATAGAGAATTAAGATAGGAGAGATAAAGTACAAGTCAGTAAAGTAAAATTTAAAAAGCCAAATTATCAATATACAAATTATTGCTTTTTATTATGAAAAACCATTAAGAAGATAAATGTTTTAAAAATATGAATTTTCTTTACTAATGTCACGATTCTATACATCTGTTATGTGGAGGGTGGAAATGCATTTTGTTTGTATCACTGACATAGTTTGGAGCATAAATGTACAATAATGAAAGTTCCAAAACAAATTTTCATAAAACTCTCAACCCACAATGTCCCAACTGTAAAAACACCTATTTATAAATGTTTCTTATACTGACAATTTTTTATTGACTTTTTTTTTCCCCCACTAACTCAATAAACATTTTACTTATTTGTTATTTTTTTTATGTGAAAACATAATTGAACAAAGGCTTTCTAAGACCAAGACAGATATAGATCATCAACAGGGTTACCACAATGTAAGATAAACAAAAGCCCTATCAGTCAACTAATTTATAAAACAATAACATCCATTTTTAGAAACAACGATAATTTTTTATGTAATGTCAGCTTCATATTTTTCCCATACTATTTTTAATATATCTTTCCAACAACTTCCTACAACAGAATTCAAACTAATGGGCCTACAATTTCCCAGACCTCTTCCCTCAAATCAACCTTTCTAAAAAATAAGATCACACTGAATGCTCCCAGTATCAAGATATTAAAAAATTAAAGCTGAAACTCACTTCTTTCCATACTAAGCTTCTTCAAAATTTGACACTAAACTTTGTCAGGGCTAGGAATTTTTCTCGTTTTCTTTCAACAATTAAAAAATTGTTTCTCCTTTATTAGTAAAACCACTACTAAAAGGTTGATTAACACCTCAACTGTATATCTTTCGTATATCAGCTTTCTGTTGGAATGGAATGTCATTCTAAATCCCTCCCCTTTTTATTGCAGTTATCTTAAACATAAACACTTTATCTCATTTTGTTAATAATAATCCAAATCATTCACTCTTTTACAAATAGATTTATCAAATATTAAGGCACTTAAGTAGTAAATATCAAACTTACAGGCACTTACTTGCATATATTGCAGGATATTATTAGAGAAGCAAAAATTGTGTGCCTAACATCACAAAGTTTTTTTATATTACACACCCATATTTAAAAAAAAAGTAAAAAATTTGCACAATGACTTTATCAAAAATTATTTAATAAATAAAATATAAATTTTATTCAAAAAAATTGAACTAGGAAGTACAAGACTAAGTATTAATGTTTTTATTACTGGAAATTATGCATGTAACTATTTTAATGTCACATGATTAAAAATAAACACTTGCAGACATTCTAATGGACTTTGGCATGATTTTCTTGAATAGTCCAATAAATTTTTATAAATTAAAAACTAATATTTTGCACTGTAACAATGCACAAGTCAGTATGATTTGTTCCCTATTCATATTACACAAGCCAAAAAGGTTACTCACATGAGCTACTGAAACCCAACTTTGAATCATCCACTGATGAAATTAATCAAAAACGAAATTACACACAATTCATATAAATATTATTATTAGCATGCCTAGATTAGATGCTTAACTTAATTATTTTCTACCAAGTTCTTTCATTCCTAAAATAAAAAAATAGAATGTATATGGAAAAGTACGTTAGCTGAATATTTCCTTGCTATATAGTATTTATAAGTTTGATGTCTGGTAAAAAATAATTATATAGACCTATAATAAATTACATTTTACACCCAACCTAGCCTCTCTTTTACAACTTTATAATCAAATTCAAATAAATGTTCCTTCTTAAGAAAAAGATTAATTACATTGTTGCAGAGAGCCCAATAAGCTGTCATATCCATAGCCACAGCTGGACGAGTGTTCCAAACTTGAGGAAAAGGTGGTATTTGGTTACCGGTTTTATCCCAAGGTGGATTCATTTGCGCCATTTCTTCTTCAACCTTGTTACACTTGAAAGAAGCCTGTTCTAAATGGCAGCCTATGACTGTTCAAATCAAATTCAAAGGGCAAGTTAACCCTAACTTTTTTGTTGCAACAAGCGAAGAGCTTTTGAAGTTTGTGTATTGAATGTATATTAGGTAAAAAACCCAAATTTTCAGAAGATTACCTGCTGTTCTAGACCTGATCCATATTGGTTGGATTCATTAATCATATTATGCTACAGGAAGTATCTTTTTTTCTTCTAAATTTGGACAGCTTCTTTCTTCGTGAAACTCGCGCTTGCAACAAAGCAAAGACGTCTTACCCCCTTGAAAGAAATGACGTCATCTATACCTTTTAAGATTTATTTAAAAGGATAAATATTTTCATTTGTAAACAAAGTTATAAAATAAAAATATATAAAAATAGTTTAATTAGGAAAATAAATACATAATGATGTTTAGTTACTAAGAGAGTATAAAATAATATCATTCGAAACCAAATTTCAGAGAAGTGTTTCATATTAGACAGAAGAAACTTTATCATTGATATAAATTATTTCGTTAATTTTTTCCTAACTTCCTAGGAATAATTATGTAATTACTTTAACCTTTTAATTATATATATTAAAATTAACTAGTTAATAATGTTTGATGATTAGACCCTATATCTTCAAATAATTAATGGCAAAGACATTATGAATAATTGTTTACTTTAAAGTAACTTCTATTTTATAGATATATTACAAAAGAAAATTTTAAATATGGTATGCCTAAGGGCGTAACATTTCTGAACCACGTGTATAAGATTAAGTTGCTGTTAGCCGCAAAGCTACACAAAGGTCTATCTGCGCTCTGCCCACCATGGGTAACAAAACCTGGTTTCTAGCAGTATAAGTCCTCAGACATACCGTTGAGCCATTGGGGGACATAATATTGTTACGTCTCCTTTGTTAATTAACTTTCCGTAACTTCGTTCCGACGAAACTTTAGCGACACAAGTCCTTACTTAATAAAACTGGTTTATTCTTTCTGAATATAACTTTACGATACACTTGATTTCAACATTCGCTCTAAAACAAACGCTATAACAACGAACGTGCTCATCTTCAATAATACTCTCTGACTGCAGATCAATTACTCACTGTCTACACACACATTGTTGTCACGTTGTGAGCGTCTTATATATATACCAGACAAACATATATCTAGTAAATGCTAGGGCATTCACGAAGGAACAAGATAGTTATAGAAACGAGGCGTGACACTAGTCACGTGACCTCGCTGACGCAACACTGCCCCCTCCTTAGTATTGTTCGTCCCGAACAATAGCCACATACAATAAACCAATAACAATTAACAATAACTTAATTAAATGTACAGAATTACAAACACAAAATTACAATTCAATTTTACGGGACGTATCTTCTTCCGTACTGGTCTCCGTCTCGTTGGCTTATGCTTCATGTGGGGTTCATCTGCTTCATCAGTAAATGTCCTATCATCGGTAACAGTCACATCAGTGGTATTAACTTCATCAAGAGCTTCATCGTTTCCTTTCTCAAAACTGAGTAGAGTTTCCTCTTCAACGGTGGCTTCTTCAGGTGGCACATCTTCAGCAGCGTCTTTTGTTCTGTTGTCCACTTCGTCCCAACTGAAATGTCCTGGACCGTGATGACGCCAAAGCCTGTTGGCATGCGCCACTTTTGGTTTAAAGGCCCATATGACATAGTGGATCGTCTCTCAGACGTGACTTTCCGGATAAAATATGGTCGGCGAGGGGAGACAAGGTGTGATTGTATAATCCCAGGAAGACCAAAGGGAAGTCTCCTAAGTTGTCTTCTCCATGGGTGGTTTAAAGCTGACTTCAGTAGATCTCTTATCATAAGATAGCTTCATCGAATCAGCAGACGTTTTCAAGTTTGAATGCACTTGATGGTGAATATCTTCCATCCTTTCCGTTAACACTTTCACAAACTCTGACACATTTTCAGGAAACTCTTTATAAGGTGGGCGTCCTTTATGCTTGGGTCTCCTTTTAGCACTACATATACTGCATGTCCTGCACCATTCTTCCACATCTCGCCTCATACCTATCCAGTAATATCTTTGTCGTAGGTTACTCAATGTCTTCTTAATTCTGAGATGTCCTCCTGTTAAAGTATCATGGGATTGACGCAACACAACTTCCCGTAACTTACTCGGGATAACCATTTGCCAAGTCGTTACTTTCCCATCTGCAGTTTCCCATCTCCGGAGAAGAATACTATCTTCAAGCTTCAACTGGTTCCATTGTGCCCAATAGTTCTTTGTCACAGGGCTTAGACTAGGCACCTTCTCCCAAGCAGGGCGCAAAACACTTGCTTTTAGAAAATCAATTATTGGCTTCAAATCTTGGTCTTTCTCCTATTCTGCTTTAATATCTATACCTGGTTTCACTTTATCCTCATCAACTTCTTCAGTCACTTTGACTTCAGCTTGATGACACCTAATTAGTTCAACCTCTCTTTTAACAGTTACCAAAACTTGGCCTTTGTTGTTCCCAAATGTAATTTTATCAAAATTAATTACAAACTTCCTTGGTAGTAGATAGTCCAATCCTAATATGCATTCGTCTTCAATGTCAGCCAAGTATACTTTCTGTCTGTCCTTTATGACCATGAGCTCAATAGTTACCCACACTGGTCCTCACAATCTTGTAGAATGTCCTGTCATTTAACACCTTGATGCTCACAAGGGATTGCTGAGACGCAGAGTCTATGACAAAGTTGCACCTATGGCCATCCAGCTTTCCTGTCACATAGACATTGTATGTGCTTGGAATTTTACACCTAGCTGTAGGGACTTTCATGATGGGGGTTGGTGAGCGTCCCTTAGCACCGACCACTACTGGTTTCCCGAAGCTGACTTATTTGTGGTATTCTTCTTACACTGGCTCCTCGTATGTCCCTGCTCTCCACAGCTCCAACAACCTTTCTGGGTAGCAGCCTTTCCTACTGTGGCATCTTCCATGTGTTGAAGTTCCAGCATTGAGTTTTCTTGTGCCCAGGTTTGTAACATTGCCAGCAAAGTCCCTCAAACTTCTCTGAAAGCTGCCCTTTTCTGGACTTGAATCCTGACGACTGTACCAACCTTGGTACCTCTGTGCTGGACTTAATGTAGGATTCAAATTCGAGAGCTCTGGCTATTGCATCCTGCATAGTAGAGGGGTGTGCTTGCTTCACTTGTATCTTTAGTTGTGGACTCCAAGGCATCTACAAACTGATCACCCAGCAACAACTTGAGGAGATCGGGTGGTGCAGTTGGGTAGGCCTTGTGTGCCATACTTTCCAAGTCCTGTGCCAGCTCTTGCAGACTCTCCCCTTCAGCACGGACCCTCGTCCTAAACCTAGCCCTGTAGACTTCTGAATGGTTTTGGGTTCCGTACCTGAGTTCTAGAGCCGCTACCAGTGCTCTATAGTTGTGTCTGTCGTCTGCTGACAACTGTCCAAGTATTTCCAGTGGTTGTCCCTTCAAGCTCGTTGCCAGAAATACTGCTTTCTGCTCCTTTGTCCATCCACTCATCTCTGCCAGGAGCTCAAATTGTGCTCTATATGCTTCCCACGGTGCCTTCCTATCAAATTCCTGTGGCTTCCTTCGTACTGGATCACCCCTATTGCTGACATTCATATTCGTATTGAAATTTACTAATATTTTT